TATTCTGTAAGGTCGTTCCTCGGTGGAACCGACGCATGCGTGCTACAAACATAATATAGCTGCAGCGTGGCCCTACCTGGTACTATACGGGACACGGGATCGTAATCAAGTGATAATAATATTTTAAAAAACGATATAGTTATGTGATCTTTATGGTATTTCTTATAGTTGCCTCTTAAAAAACCCAGTAATGGATTTTCTAGCGCCGCTGTTAATATGATTTATGAAGTATAAAGAAGTAAAGTTACAGCCAAGTTGCCGTCTATATACATGCCACAGCTGGGCACAAACCTGTTCTCATGTCCAAAAGGGCTATGAGCGATTAGTCCGGCGCTTAGCACTAGTGCGTGTTGCCGGATTTCCATTTCACATGCAGGTTTCCTTACGATGTTTTCCTTCACCATCGAGCATGGGATAAATCAACACTTAAAAGTTTTTAAAATTAACTATTTCACTGATAATGTGGACGAACCCAGGTTACTTTTTTACTGCGAATTTACGGCAAGTGAGTTATCTTGGCGTGATATAATTTGTTGTTTTGTTAATACGTCCTTTATGAGGATAGTTTTGATGTGTTAGATTTTCTATTCATTGTAGGTGTACTCAAAAAATGGCAGAAACTGTACACGTATTTAAAAAAAGGCTAATATACTGTGATGTTTGACAAGTATGTCACCGCTCGCTATTTTACATCTAGACTGCCTGCCATCTGCCGGGTTTGGAGGAAAGTATACGAGTGGGGTATCAAGCTTAGTCCCACTTTTAGACATAGTAAAAAGTTTATTTTTATTACTTTAGTAGTAAATAATGAAAAATAAGTAATAAAAATAAAAAGCCTTTGTGGTAAAAATATTCGGGTTTCATAGCAAAAAATCTGAGGTTTAAAAAAAACGATTTTGCGGATTGCGGATTGCGGTCTTTGTGTCCTAACTATATATGTGATGATCGTATCTGAGGTTTAAAAAAAACGATTTTGCGGATTGCGGATTGCGGTCTTTGTGTCCTAACTATATATGTGATGATCGTATCGTTCTTTATTTTATAAACTATAAGATCATTCAAACATTTCCGAAAGTCGAAATTTTCGACACACAGAGTAGACGAGATGGTGTGATGAATTAATCGAGCGCCTAATTAACGCGAATAAAAAAAATATTTAATTGAACAATTATGTAAATAATAACGACCAGAGATTTGTAAAGATTATGCAAACTTTGTTGCATAGAAGTATTGGGAGGCAGCGATAAATTCCGGGAAGGATTGACCGAAGGACGCATCTGACGAAGGCCCTCAAGAGTTACGACATTACGAGGAGCCAGGATGTCGTTTAAGAATAGAATACGGGACGCATTTTTTAAGTTGCCATTCAATACTTACTATTCGACTGCCTTTTTAAACCAAATTTAGGACGAGATCGAGATAAATGAGTATTAATTGGGTAATCTAAGTTTTAAAAATATGTCTCTTTTAGTTGAGGCGTAATTGATTAATATGTTGTTTTATTGAAATTAAAATGGGAACAGGCGAGGGTAAATAGTTTTTGCCAACTCTTTTCACAATTAGTAAAACAATTTTGAATAGTGCATGACAAAGCTTTAGCAAGTTGCATCCTCGCATCTGTGGGAATTCTTTTAACCACTGGTACATTATTATGATAACTATATAATTGTTCAACTAATTGAGTTATGAATTTCTACCGTAGGCTGTGAAGCCGAAATACTTTTACTATGGCATCGTTTAATATGTATATGTAATCCCCTTTTACCTTTAAACAGTCTACCGTCACCATTTTTCTATCGTCTATTACATCTATGGGGTCCTTACATATGAAATTAGCGTTTTGTCGTCACTTTGACCTGAAATATCTCCTCTTTGGTTAAGAATTCCAAATTCAAATTGATAAATTTATTTAATTGGTACATTTGAGTTTTGAAAACAGTCATTCATTTGTTTTTCTCTATTATTTTTTTTCTTTGGTGTCGCTTATTACCGCATAATGGAAAACATGAAATATCGGTATATTTACGAGTATCTATACGTATAGATCCATATCGATACGTATAGATTACGAGTTCTACCGTGGCACCAGTGCTGCAGAAACAGCTCGAAGAATTAATGATGTGTACGGCGCTGGTGTCGCAAAAGAAAGCCCAGTACCTTTTTGGTTTCAACGTTTTCGTTCTGGAAATTTCGACCTTTGGAACCAACCTCGTGGACGGCCGGAGACCAAAGTGGAAAATGAAGAATTAAAGGATATTGTGGAAGCGGATCCATCACAAAGCACTTCAGAGATAGCTGCAGGCTTCGGGGTAAGTGATAAAACTGTATTAATCCACTTGAAGCAAATCGGGAAAGTAAAAAAAACTTGAACGAGGTACCTCATGAATTGAGTGAATCGAACTTGCAAACACGCGTCGACTGCTGTGTTACTTTGCTCAACCGACACAAAAATGAAGGGATTTTAATTCGAATCATTACTTGTGATGAAAAGTGGATACTGTACTATAGTTGGAAGTGCTCGCCGCAGTGGCTGAACCCTGGAGACCCAGCCAAATCCAGCCCTAAACAAAAATTGACTCAGAAAAAGTTACTTATGAGTGTTTGGTGGACTAGCGCCGGTGTTGTTCACTACAGCTTTCTAAAATGTCGCCAAACGATTACGGCAGATATCTATTGTCAGCATATGAAAACCATAAAGGAAGAACTAGCTGCTAAACAACCAAGATTGGTCAATCGCTCTAGGCCACTGCTGCTTCACGACAACGCAAGATCACACACTGCACAACAAACAACCACTAAGTTAGATGAGCTAAAATTGGAATATCTGCGTACCTTATTGTAACCGTACTCCCCGGATCTTGCTCCAACAGATTACCATTTTTTCCGGAATTTGGACAACTTCTTACAAGGAAAAAATTCAACTCCGATGCGGCAGTCCAAACCGCCTTCAAAGAGTTTATTGATTCTCGCCCCCATGGTTTCTTTAGTAAAAGGATCAATGAACTACCTATGAGATGGGAAAAGTGCATAGATAACAACGGTGCATACTTCAATTAATTAAATATATTTTACAAAAAAAAAAATTGACTTTATATTCCTCCTGTACAAAACGCCAATTTCATATGTAAGGACCTATTATTATAAGTCTATACGTCACAATTTTGACACTGTAGAAAATCTGGCTGTGAATGCACCAGAGCGTCAATATTCCTTAAAAAATGTAAAAGAAAGTAAACATGTAAACAAATCTCTCCTGTACTCAAAAGTCTCTATATCGTATAACTTCGTATTTGCGTCTTGTGCTCTGCATCTTTCCTGTTCAGAAATATTTTCTGTTGTAAAATCTGTTTTTAATTACATTATAGAGCTTTAATTTATATTCTATAGTGGTATCATTATTTTTTTCAGAAAGTTGACTGAGCAGTGACTCTACAATCCATACAGTATCATAAGACTCTATCTGACTCAAATTGAGGAACATATGACATACGCACTTCAAGTACTTCTTCTATGCCTTCATTTGAGCCACTGATAGCTAATTTTTACCCACTTCAGCTAAAATGTTAATTGTTTCAGCATTTTTCTGTTTGGCATTATTATTTTAGTAGTAGTATCGATATTTCCTTTTCTAAGTAAATCATCTAAGTCTGGTAGAGTAGGATAATTGTCTGTAGAGTGAGATAGTTTCTTTGCTGTAACAAACTCCTACGCTTCTATGTGAGCTCATTACGCCTAGACACCTCCTTTTTAGGTTATTATTGTTGCTTGTGTCCTTATTTTGTAGACAACGGTCATTTGCTGGGTCAAGTTTTATTCGCGACCTCTTAATTATAATACATACATGAAAATCCAATTACTTTATCATGGCAAAGCAGAAAAAGTACGAGGACACATCATAAAATAGGAGTAAAGCACTCAAAATATTATTTTGTGTTCTATTATCAATCTTGTTTCGCTCTTTTTAGTGTATTGTTTTTAAATTATATTTTTTGCAGTCGAGTTTTAGATTTTTTTAATTATTTATTTTATTTTTCTATGTATGTTACGCAATATCTCCGTCAATATTTTTTTGTAGTTGATTTTGATGATTTATATATTAAATAGGTTAGCTTTAGGGTTGGTTCCATATTAATTTATAGAAAAAGTTCCACCCTCCAATGAGACCTATGGGATGACGTTGTAACTGATGATATTTCTTAGATCACTCAAAACAGTAGAAATTAAACTTTTATTAAAAGTAAAGGTCGACTTCACCTTTGAAAAAAAAATCAGTTAAATTCCACATAATAGCTTCTGGATTTAGAACTTTTATTCTTATATACATAGTCTTAAAACCGACTCCAGAAGCATAATATGTGAAGTTGAATATTCTATATATTGCATTATTCTTTTTAGTCATTTGAAGTCAGCTTTTATCTTTAATAAGAAGTTTAATCTTAAAATATATGATGCTGTTTGGTGACTTGAGTTTGAGTTTGGTGGTTTGAAATTTAATTGTGAAACATACGCTAACAAAATAAAAGGAACTTACATGTTATTTAATTAGGAGACTATTTAAGTAGATGACTTCAACATCAATTTTAATGAACAGTTGGATTGCAGCATTAGTTGAGACTGCAGTGACGTATCTATCAATACTAAATAAGTGGAATATATAATATTATTATGATAATTTACATTTTACAATGAATGTACGCGGCCATATTGTAGTATTTTTTATAATTTTCGTAAATATAAACGTAAATTATGCAGAGGAAAGTGTTCTATATACAGAAACAGGTGAAAACAAGAAGGAAACGGAAATGTGTGAAAATAAAAAATGTATTTTTAAATGTTGCCCAAGAAATTATATTATTAGCCGAGAAAGTTGCGTCAGAGCACCAGAAGGATTTAACATTGACTTTTCTAATGTAGATATTTATAATAAAAATATTGAAAAGACTGGGAAAAGTGTTAAAGATGTTTTTCCAATAAAAGTTGGTAATAATTTTAATGAAACTATGACAATATCGGACGTACCTTACACACAGAATTATTTAACTGAGGTAAGCACAAGGATAAAATTAAATTTACAACTATTTTTTAACTTGACCTGACTCTATGTAACATAATGGAATTTTATAATTCAGTTTATACCCAAATGGGAATGTCTGTAATTAAAATTTTCGCAGGTGTATTAAGAACCGATGACAATACCTCTTTTTTAATTAAAAACAACGTTACCTTCGCATTGGGATATTTTCCTGTGTCATGGAACATTTCACATCATTTTTGATATATATATATATATATATATATATATATATATAATACACACACATATATATATATATATACATATATATACACATATACACACACATATATATAATAAGTGACGAAATGGCCAAATACATATCTCTTTATTTCTTTCATACACTAATTTCACAAGGACAAATATCCAGACCCCAAACAATTATTTGTAGGCCATTTGTATGGCTTGATTTGTTTCGTGTGGGATTCGAACTCGCCGCCCTCAGCATTGCATATCGTGCTGACCGACCGCTGCGCCGCGGGCCGTTTAAAATGGCGTATGCTTAAGTGTTTTTAACTGTTATATTTTTTTAACTCATATCATTAAAGAGTAAAGTATGTAGTGGCGGAGTAAGAATACGTACCTGGATGTAGACAGCAGCGTCTTTCTAATAACAACTAAATAATAAAAGACTACGGTTGCCAACAAGCATGCCAAGCGTGGTTGCTATGGCAAATGTTCCCCCTACAAAGCAATCTACGAGGAGGCCTATGTTCAGCAGTGGACTTTTCACAGTTTGGAACGGTAAATGGTAACCAAATGTGAATGGACAAATCCACAAACGTTGACATTTAACCGCTTGCTGTAAATTTCACGTAAGAAACCCGGGTTAGATCTCCACCGGCACCAATAAATATTTAAGTGTAGGATTTGGGCTCAACGGCAAAGAAAAATATCGTAAGGAAGACTGTATCTCTGAGAAATAAAAAAATTATATCATGTGAAGTCCAACACGCATTTGGGCAGCGCATTGATGTTCCTTTACCCTCAAACGATTTCAAAAATGAGAGGAAGCCTGATGTCTTGTTGTGGGACGGATAAAGGCGGTAATTTTACTTTACTTTACTTAATAAGTGTAAATTAAAAAAGTGACTTCAATAAGTATTTTTATAATCTACATTGAATAAAAATGTTTATATTTCTTATATATTATATTTATATTTCTAATATAAATAAAAATGTACAACCAGTTTAATGTCTTCATTTTCATTAGCCTTTACGGGCTGTCCAGCCACTACTGGACATGTGTCACTTCCGTTATATGGAGGATTTGTGTTAATCGTCACGATTGGAAGGTGAACTGACGATCATTCTGAATATTTCGCGTCTCACGTAAACGAGATGACGATGAGAGACGTCGAAAACGATGAATATTTTTTTGCTAAATTCCGTGCTTTAAACCGTCCTAGGAACTTTCTCCCGATCAAGGTGAAGATAACTTTAGTGCAATCTCTTATTTCGCCCATTATTGATTATACTGAAGTATGTTTTCCTGATCTTAATGAGGTTTTCCTTAACAAGCTGGATTGTCTCTTCAATAACCGTATCCGTTTTAATTTTCGTCTTCGCAAATTTGATAATAATATATCCTCATTCCGCACTCAGCTTAAATGGCTTCCTGTAGGTCAGCTAAGATGAATTATGATACTAAATACTGTTTTTTTTTCTGTTGTATTAGATAACCACTATCCGAATTACCTAAAACATAGTTTTAGTTCCCGTGTGACACTCATGATAGATAGCTTCGTTCATTGGAGACTCTTGCTCTTTTTATGTTCTTTGTAATCACCTTCGCCTAAGGTTGACTGGCAGAGAATGCTTTTAGTATTAAGTTCGCCTTTTGATCATATATTGCTGTAATGTTTAACAGAGTTTAAATAAATAAAAATTTGGGCTCTTTCCTTAATTTCCTCCTACCACACCCACGGGTTGAAAATATGCGATGGAATATTTAGGTAGTAGAATCTATGGAAGGGAAGAATTGGCCGCTAGCTTGGACATAGCGAAGACCTTTGATTGGGTTTGGCACAAAGCGTTTCTTTCGAAGTTTCTTTCCCATGGGATTCCAGAGAAACTGTGCAATAGAATCCTTTATTCAACTCCTTGCTGATTGGAGTGTCAAGGTCGTAGTAGACGGTGCATGCTTCGATTACAAGCCTATCAATGCTGGTGTTCCTCAATGCTGCGTGCTATCACCGACGCTGTTCCTTCTGCATATAAATGATATGTTGCAAACTGGTAACATTCTTACTCTTTTTTATTCTTTCTAAAAAGCTGTCAATGCACCTGCAATTCCTCTGGTACTGCAGTTGTTCATATGCGGCGATAGTCACTTACCATAAGGTGAGCCGCATGCTCGTTTGCCCTGTATTCTATAAAAATATAAATAGATATGGGGTAGTGAATTCTCTTATGCTGCCACTTTACAACACTTCAAGTAGCGATATGATAACATAGCCCAACGAATCAGTAAACTGAATAAAGTAGCAAATTAGCGATCTACCGCTGGATGAAGTATCTAAGGTTGTTTTATGTTTAAGAAGAAACATTTCCCAGTTGGACCTTTAAGATTTATTTTAATTTCCTGGCTTCAATACTTTCCATGCTCTTAAAATAAAACATTTCATGAACTTGTTCAAGAAATATTTTGAGAACAAATTCTTAAAAACTATAGTGATGTGGTGGGTCCTTACTTTATTTTCCTTTTGTAATCTTTTCTCCGACTGTTCCTTTATGCTTTAGCAAATAGAGCGCTGTGTTCTATGTGGTCATTTTATTATCCGAAATATCATGCCAATGGCCCTGCCCATTGACGGTAAAACACAAATGTACGGTGGTAATTTTACTGTCCGTAACGTCACATCAGAAACCTAATGTTATGTCAGGTTTTTGAAATGTATAAACAAAACACCGAAACCGACTAAAAAAGTGCTACAAAGATGTGAGAAACATATCATGTGTAATTTTTTTAATTCGCCGCCTAATAAGCTAAAAAAATGATTCGTTTATTTTTGCTTGTCAACTTGTCACGGAAAAACGTAAGTGGCGTACGTTAAAACCGAAACAATCACAAAAGTTAGTATATGTATCAGAAAATCGACTCAAATAACTTATTAAATCGAATCAAATAAACCGTAATAGTGTAAGCCCACTGAAAGTTTGTCTTCTGATCAATACGGGATTTACATGTTATAACATAGGAAGGGTAGGCAGACACTACAGACTTCCATTTGGCACGATCCTGACATACATCTCTTGCCTCTCTGCCTCTGACTCTGCCACTTACTTCTGCAGCATAAATTTGCTTTGTCACACATTACTTATTTACTCCATGTGACCAAACCACCGAATGATTTCTTATATTTACGCGAACACTATACATTGATTCAAACTACTTTTACGGATTTTATCGCGTTTATTGATGTTATTTTTATTACCCGACGTTTCGGGTACTTTCCAGTACCCATGGTCTTGCAGTTTGCGATCATATCCTAGACGGCCCCAACCATTACAACAAATTTGGTAGACCACAAATCCTCGCGAAAGAACATCGATACCTACCAAGGATGAAAAAAAAGTACCACCTGCTCGGGACCCTATATTAATAAAATTAAAACTAAACCCAAGCATACCACTGCCAGACTTCAAAACACAGTTAGTTCATTCTGCGTAGATCGGACCAAAGACAATAATTAAAAAGCTGAAGGTACTCCCGGTTAACTTTGACGTCGGGACGTCAGTCACCTCAGTCCCCCGTGACCATGGGTGCTGGAAAGCACCCAAAACGTCGGGTATTAAAAATAACATAAATAAACGCGATAAAATCCGTAAAAGTAGTTTGAAACAACGAAGCTTTTCGTTCTTAATCCTGGTTACAAAATCTTCATGTTATCTTGTACTTTAGATACTCAACAGTTTTTAACCTTCAAAATATTTTTTTCAGGACGGAAGTCTTCAAATAGCATTTAAACTGCCTAACGCTTTTACGCGATGGAGGTCGTTAAATAAAGATTACTTCTGTTTGGATTACGAAGCACTTAGTACAAACATGACAGTTATTAAACCAATATTTAGAGTTGCTTTCAACAACAGGCAAGCTCAGAATAAAAAGGGGTTTTATTTTAAAGCTGGTGGTAAGTGTCAAGACGACTAAAATTGCGTAGGCGCCCGCGACGTCTAAAAGCGCTTAGAAATTGTCGGATTCTGAAAATATTTTTTTAAAAATTATTAATTTAAGTAATCAAAATAATGAGCAAGTAAATTATGAATATTGATCTTATGAAAATATTTAAGTGATTCCCAAAAATATAGATTGAGTAATTTCGTTGTAATTTCAAATAATTATGATCGAGTCAAAATTATACAATCGTGTTTTTGAACAAGCAAATTCAAGATAAAGACATGAATTTAACTATATCAGAATTCCACTTTCGTTAGTGGTGTCATAGTCCTATACTATTCGATAAAAGGAGGTGCATTTTTTCGCGGTGTCGCAAGCCATGATTGAGGTCAAATGGGCATTTTGAAAGGGACACTTCGATAAAATGTAATGACTAAAGCTGCATTCTTCTGAAATAAAAATATTATTTTCTGTGGAACGATTTCGAATTCTTCATAAAATGTTATAGCTGCGAGTATATAACATTTTATGCTATGCGTTTATATGCTAGCTATTCTTATATTCCACAGTACCTATCATTATACAAACCATTTTAATTACTGAAGGCCAGTAAGGTATAAAAACTATTTATATATTTGTTAAATTTAGAGTTCGAAAGGCTTCACTTTGTAAAGAATCTAATTTTACATAATAGGCTTGTACATCAGCCTAAGAAAGAATAACTCAAAGATAATTACTTCCGCTAGCTTAAACAATAAACTTTTATACTATTCCTCCATTCACGAAGAGACGTTTTTGTGCACCCTTAATGTTTTTATAAATATACAGCTTTTTTAATAAAAAGATTATTTTCTTAAATAATATTTGGTTTAACGAATATAATTATATTAAATTCAATAAACGATGTTGATATAATTAAAGAAACAGGAACGGGCTAAGAATAGATCCCTGAAGTACGCTCATATTTATGACAAATTCAAGAGAATTTATACTACTTACCTGATTGGCGAATATCGACTAATAACGGTAAATAATATATTAAACTTTAGGCTGTCAGTTAATTAGAATTGGTTGCAATGTTGTATTCAGAAAGTTGTCTAGCATCATCGTGTATTAGAAAACCCTATGTTAAGTCTATAACGAGGTCTATTAATTTTAGTAACATTATATAAGCCAGCAAACGGTTCATCTAAGCACCTTGAATATCTGTAACCAATTTCAAACAAATGATATTAAAGAAACGCTGTCACCCCTGATGATTAGGATGGAAAGCCACATAACCTGCATTTGTATTAGATCCTCATACACGGCTTCGAAGTAGGTGAAAGTATATACAGTTACTATACGAATGGATACCTAGTACTGGAACTACTTGATATTTTACTCTGCTTCATTAACAAAAGAAAAATCAACAAAATTAGTTAATATTCATGCTTACACTTTTATTATTTCAACAGCTCTGCTGATTTCTTGCAGTTTCTTGATGGCTGTACTCGTAGTATATTGTATATTACCAGAATTGAGGACTATAGGCGGAAAAGTATTAATGGCTTGTGTCGCTAGCCTCTTTAGTGCCTATATGTTACTAGCCACTATGATGTTAATGACGTTGAACAATGAAAACATCACTATTGTAAATTGCATTTCATTAAGTAAGTTCATAAGTATTGTAGCATGCTAAATAACTTCGTGTGCTGAGATTCTATAAATTTTATAACTTCGTTATTTTACAGCATCCGCCATATATTTCTTTTTTATGGCCAGTTTCTTTTGGATGAATGTGATGTCTTGGGACATATGGTGGTCATTTCGGTCAGTATTTTCTTTAAATACAATATTGAAAGTCTTGTAATTATTTATACAATATTATTCATGACGAAAAAGAGCATGAAACTTAAGAAATGTCTAGTAGTGATACCGTCAATATGCTCTGCCAAGCTTGACATTTAAGCCTTGGAAGACGCCCATGTCCCGTAGTATATGCTTTTACATGTTGACGAAAAAGAAACACTTACAATTAGATAAGGTACAAAATAGCCGATTTAAAGATTTAAATTTAAGATTTACAACACTCCACCTAATTAGATTTATTTTAAATATATCCATGTTTCTAGGGGCTTTGCAAAAATTCGACCAATCAATCGTCGTGGAGATTCTTTCAAATACTTCATATACAGCATATATGCGTGGGGATTACCGTTTGGAATGTTGGTAATGTTTGTTATTCTCAATCAGATTCAAGTGCCTGGGATTATAAGCCCCAGTGTACCGAAATTTGGATGCTTTATCGATGGTAAGTAATATTGATTTTCTGTTCTGCTTCGTATTTGTTCACTTGTTCCTGTACAATACATAAAAACACCAACGTCAACATTTTTTAACCATTAGCAGTAACCGAGATGAGGATTCGTTTTTCCTGTCCAAAATATTTTAAAACATGTTTTAATATAAATTTCGCTAGTTTATTAGACTCGTCTTGGTATTTTGTTTTATAAAAAGGTTTAATTTAGATCTTTTCTTGTAATTTTTAACGACGCTATTGAAATTTTCCCTTTGTTTTTGTTACAGGCCCAGAAAAAATGTTGTACTTTTATGTGCCTATGTTAGTCCTTCTTATATGTAACTGGGTTTTATTTCTAATGACTGCGTTTAATATTTGGCGCATAAATAAGTCCACTACAATGCTTAACTCGGCAGCTGCAGGCACACCAGCTGCTCATCGCGCCCAACGACAAAGGTATTCTGATGAAAATATTATGTTTTGATTTCAATAGGTGGCGATGTAGCCTAATTGTAAATAAATATTATATTTACACTGTAAAAAGTCTTAAATGAATTTGGAGTAAAATTTATCACGCTATATACTAGAAATGGCGGAAAAACATCTGCCGAGCTAGCTAGTATGTACCCTCCCCAGTACTGGAAAAATTCAGTGTGGCTTTAAAAAAATTATCAAAAAAGTTCTGATACATTTTGATGATAAATCATCACCATCATCATCATAACCCATCATAAGTCTACTGTTGAACACAGGCCTTCCCCAAGAAATCTCGCTAGGCACTGTCCTGCATCCGTTGACTTACCAAATGTAGTAGGGGACCATCTTACACTTCACTTACCATTACGAGGTTGCCACTTGAGAACGTGGTAGAGCCACGCTGCAGCTATATTATGGCTGTAGCACGAATGGGTCGGCTCGACCGGGGGTGGACCACGTTCTCACAGAATACCAGCGTAAAATAGCAGCCTAATACTGCTGTTTTTCGTATGGTGAGTGTAGAGATCTGGAGACCCTTTTTTTAGTGGAAACGAGGCATTCCATCTCTGTCCTCAGGGGCGACAACGTATCTGTGTTTTAGTTCTTAATCGAGGATAAATGTAGATGTCTGTGGGCCACATCATTCACTTACCATCAGGTAGACTGTATGCTCGTTTGCCACTCTTATTCTATAAGAAAACCTCAGTAGTGAGGTTTGGTTCTGTATCTTATTTAAATAGTCGGATAGCTCGCTGAGCAACTTAAGCTTTCATACACGCCCAGCAGTGAAGGACCACGTCTCACATCCATATGCCGTCACCGGTTGATAAATAATCATAATAATTTTGTTATAAAATTATTTCTAATATTCCCTCGGTTTAAGAGCCTTCTAGAATATTTCGAGACGACGATAGAAGAAACGAAGGTATGACATCTCGTTTAGAGGCGGAGCGACATTTGTGGCGACTGAACTAAGTAAGTGGCAGGAGTTTCTAAGAGATGCCTTCACGTTTGAGCCATATGCTGTGGAGACTATCGGTCCGTGGCATCCACGTGCGATGAAGCTCTTATAGAAACGATTTGTAGTCACCGCTGGTGATAAGAGATTTTTATCTTTTCTCACTCAAAAGCTAAGTATTCAGCAAGGAAACGCACCCAGCATTCTTAGCACTATACCGCGAGGAGTGGGACGAATGAGTTTTATGAAGCTGTAAAAGCCGCGTAGGCTAACAGCAGCAACATCATCGAAACCAGATGTATGATAATTAAAATTTTTAGTTTAATTTTTTTATCATGGTAATAATTATGAAACATCCAGAATATTCCAGCAAATACGGGCCCCGACCGACCAGGCGCAGAAAGTTCGAGTGTGGGGCTTTCTAGAAAGCTTAGTTCCTCTGTTCGATAATAGATGGCGCTAGTGCCATCAACTGTGGCGCGCAACAGTATGTTATGTTTCTAATTAAATAGTGATTTTTTACAGATTCTTAGTTTATATAAAGCTGTCAGTGGTGATGGGAATAAGTTTTGTGCTGGAGGTTACAAGCACTCAAGCACCGCAACTGGCGATATGGTATATAACTGATATGTACAATATGCTGATAGGAGTTACAATTTTCTTTATATTTGTTTGCAAGAAGAAAATTTTTAGAATGCTATCTGAAAAGTGAGTAAGAAGTTTACCAAATACATTTTGCTCCTCAAATACAGTCCTCAGGAGTAACAACATATCTAAATTTTGATTCTTAATCGAAGATAGATGTCGGTATCTATAGGCTACAGAATCCACTTACCCCTACTTTCTCATAAAAAATATTACGGATAACAATTTGTAACAATAAAAAAACTGGATACCTAAGTAAACACTTAAATTAATACTGTACTAGTCAAAACTTTTTGACAGTCACCAGCGCTTTTTTAAATGAATTTTTCATAAGGAAGTAAGGAAAGGTTTGAATCATCATCATTTAATGTATATATTTTCAAGTATGTTTACAGATTTAAATGTTTTTTTTTTATTAAATAGGTATCTAATACTACAGGGGTGGTTATAAATAAATAAAAAAAGGGTGGAAAAGAGCGTATAACATTTTAAGTTGTAGTCTTGAACTTGCGTTTTTCTTAGACCACTTAGGAGGGTAAAATAATTAAAATTTGAATAAAACGTATAAACATAAACTTAAAAAAATATATTATAATTCTAAAATTTTTTGGTGTTTAAAATTGGTTTTTATTTTTTATTAAAGGTTTAATTATCACAAAATTTAATATACATAGACGGACCTAGCATATTGTAGTTCTTTATGATGTAAGGGAGAATCTTAGGGGTGTTATGAGGAATATGTAAATTTTTTCTTCAAATGTTAACCTGTGGTGCGTAGTGTAGCTTGTTGCTTGACAGACGAAGTACTGATGTCCGATCGATGGTGGAAAAAACAAATCCCACCGACTCTACCACAGTGCGTACACTTCTAGACTTTCGGCTGTACGTTCGTTACGTACGTACGTAAAACAAGGAATTTTTGTAGTTTTGGTGGCTACAAGTGTCAAAATATTGATTAGTGATTTTAAAATGCGCGATGAGAATCATTACTATCTTATTTTAAATATTAATTTTAATCGCTGATATTAACCTTTACTACCGACGATCATCATCATTATCATCATTACAGCCCTTCACAAGTCCACTGCTGAACATAGGCCTCCCCTGAGGAACGCCACAAAGCACCGTCCCGAGCACCTTCATCCATCAACTTCCAGCATCTCTTGCCAGGTCTCTTTCTTCGCATCGCTTGTCCCATTGCCACTTCTGCTTACTGATTCATTTTTCAGCATTTAAATACAAAGGTACGTGATGTAATGATTACTTCGTTGTTTATATTTGTTTGTTTCATTTCAGATTACAAAAGAATCGCGAAAGTAAACAACAACACAACGCGAGTGAGACCAATGTGACGTATATCGATGAGCAGCCGTATATCGATGAGCATAAAGAACACTTTTTGCTTCAAAATAATACTCATAATGCTTAGTCTATATATGTATTTAGTGGTTCTTTGGGTAATTTTATATTTTCGCGGTCCCCTCGTTTTTTGGCTCTAGAAAAATCGAAAAATCATCCGATTTCGATTAATTTTTTTCGAAAAAAAAAAACGAGGGAAGCCCGGTCGGCGGAGCCCCGTGAGGCGGTGCTCTTACTTCTGAGTGGTTTATATAACCTAGCCTGTCCGAGTTGGGATGCCCTAAGTCCCGAGCTTATTTCGCTCAATCTTACACTTAAGGGGATATAGTAAGTCAGCTCAAATTCTAATTTCGTCCCCACTTGCCCGAGCGTCGTATGCTATGTACCGACATGTTTGTAATCACTAATACTGTAAGTAGAAAGGTCGTTAGACACTTATTTCATTAGGTTTATCATATTTATGCCTGTCATATTTGTGCCAGTCGCTTCTTATTTTTATTACGGTTATTTCCCATTTTAATTTTACGTCGTTCTGTTGCGTAAAGTGTATTCTGATCGTAAGCGATACAACCTGCCCCTTTAAAGGCCGAAGCGAAGTGACCGGGCGGCAGGAATCACGCTTCAAGAGGCCGATAGATTAGGTAATTTCTTTTTACAGTAAAAATAATGGTATTTAAAAAAAAGAAAATAACATAAGCACCGCTTTATAGTTAGTTCAGTTAGTATGCAAAGTTTCATGATCATATTTAAAGTATTTTATGAATAACAGCGGTTTGTTGTTTATTTTGGAGGTAACTTTGGATTTTTTTTTCTATCGAGAAAATTTTACGAAATCGTGTTTTCGTCTAACCTTAACATTAATCCTCAACTTTACCATATATTTAGTTCAAAATTAATGCTGCAATATTTTCGGTATAACGAAGGATCTTGCTAAGCCATTTGAGATTATATTTCCCCTTAATAAAACCACCATCAAAAATTAAGAAACACATTTTTCAATATTTTTGTTAAAGGTTCGTTTTTATGTGTAGATTATGAAAAAATATATCAACTATTCTAAGATTTGCAAAAAAAATTATCAACAATTATACGTGAATGAGTGCATTTTCACGAACATTTAAAGCCCTGAAACCAATATAAGTTTTAATTTTTTTAATTCCTGTAATTTTTTTCTTAAATCTGCTGTAAAATCAAAGATTTTAAAATAATTATCGAAATCGGATGATTTTTTGATTTTCTAGAGCTAAAAAACGAGGGGATCGCGATAGTATAAAATTACCATTCTTTGCTAATATTTTGTAAGCTAGGTTCTTTACCTATTTATTCCTAGGTATTTTCCCTGAGTCAATACCGTTGCTTGAACTGCTGTGGCAGAAGGGTTTAGAGAGCCAGTATAATTGTGATGCAGCCTTCTTCGTTTGAAGTTGGCTACAGGGTCCATGGACTGCAGCAGGCACTTACCGTCAGATTGACTGTTAGTTCGCTTATCTCGTCAGTTTTATAAAAATATCTGAATTGCTACAACACGATTACTATAATCGTGTTCAGAAGCTATTCAAATACTAAAAATAGTTTGCAAACCCATGTAGGTAAAAGTACCAAGTTATTTAGTTTCAATCACATAGAAGGAAAGCTTTTATTGATTATCTCAAGTTCTGCAAAAGCATGTTCAAAAGTTATAATATTTTTATAATGATTTCTTATATTTACGCGAACACTACACATTGATTAAAACTATACTTTTACGAATTTTATCGCGTTTAATTTGAATTTGAATTATTTTTATTTTTAATTCCCGACGTTTCGGGTGCTTTCCAGCACCCATGGTCACCGGGGACTGAGGTGACTGACGTCCCGATATCATTGTTAAACCCGGATTACCTTCAGCTTTTTAAATTATTGTTTATGGTCCGATCTATGCAAAATGAACTGACTATGTCTTGAGGTCTTGCAGTGGTATGCTTGGGTTTAGTTTTAATTTTATTGATTATAGGGTCCCAAGCAGGTGGTAGTACCCAGCCTCCTTCTCTATTGAAATTAGGATGATTTTTAATTTCAATAGCCTCACGTATCATCCTTGGTAGGAATCGGTGTTCTTTCGTGAGGATTAGTGGTCTATCAAATGATGTAGTGGTTGGGGCCGTCTAGGATATGATCACACACTGCAGACTTCCCGTAACGTTGATGCTTCACATCAGCTATATGTTCTTTTACGCTGCAAGACCTCAAGACATAGTCAGATCATTTTGCATAGATCGGACCATAAACAATAATTAAAAAAGCTGAAGGTACTCCGGGTTTAACAATGACATCGGGACGTCAGTCATCTCAGTCCCCCGTTTCCATGGGTGCTGCAAAGCACCCGAAACGTTGGGAATTAAAAATAAAAATAATTCAAATTCATATTAAACGCGATAAAATCCGTAAAAGTAGTTTTAATCATTATAATATTTTTTTATAAAATAAGATTGACAAACGAGCGCATATTCCATCTGATAGTAATTGGATGCTGTGGCCCATAGACGTACTTCTGACATCGATTTGGAATCAAAATGCAGATGCGTTGTCACCGATAACGACCAAGATGTTTGATTGAAAAAACAATGTTAAATATTTTATATACAAATTTGTTAAGTTCATACTGTGTTTAATTTATGAGTAATTAAGTTTTTATAAAATTTTAAAATAAATAAAACAATAAATTAATATTTCTTGATTAATTTTCTAATAGTTTTTAACACTTAGATGTTTTTTTTTGCAATTTGATTTCTATTGGAACTAATCGTATAGCGCCGCTATACGATTAGTTCCAATAAGTTTAAGAATATCCACTATTCCAAATCATCCTGTGGGTGTCGCAAGAAGCCACAGAGGGAAACTGAAGCAGAAGATGAGCAGTAGCATCTTCTTGATAACAGCTGCCTGCACCTGCACCGCGTACAGCCCAGTTTTTGTGGGTGTTTTTTTTTTTAGTTAGTTAGTAGAGTAAGGCTCGTCTGATGGTAAGTGTCACCGCCGCCCATGAAAAACCGCAACACCAGGAGAATCGCAGATGCGTTGCCGGCCTTTTATAAAGGAGTAAGCTCTTTTCTTGAAGATCCCTAAGTCGTATCGGTCCGAAAAAATTGCCGTTGGTAAATGATTCCACAGAGTGGTCGTACGAGGAAGAAAAGTCCTAGTAAAATGCACAGTGGTGGAACGCCAAGCATCCAAATGGTGTGATCGTGAAATTTGGCAGCCGGAACTAATCCGAACAATTCCTCAGAACTCTTCCCAGGGTAGATTTCATAGAAAACGCAAACGGATGCAACATCTCGCGCCAGTGGATGGAGCCGATCAGAAAGAACTCGGTCGTCGACGATTCGAAGCGCTCTGCGCTGGACGCGGTCAAGTGGAAGGAGCTGGCACTGGGGTGCCCCGGCCCATGAGAACAGTATTCCATGTGAGGTCGAACTTGCGCTTTGTAAAGATGCAAGCGATTTGCCGACATGAAATATTGTCTCGCTCTGCTGTGCACGCCAACCTTTTTTGAAGCCAATTTGGTTGGCCTTCCAAGTGACCATGAAAATGCACATTATTCGATATGTCGACGCTGAGGATTTCAATACTAGCTGAGGCAGCAAAGAGAGAATCTGCCTTGAAACTGAGGTGATACGACAAATGGGTCCTTTTTAGCGGTAAACGCGCGTTCTTGTGTCTTCTGCGGATTGAACTTGACTAGATTTAGTCGCCCCCGATCTGAGAAAAGTTACAAAAACTTACCTTAAAAATAACTAATGTTTCTACACAAAAACTTTATTACCCCCTTCAATCCTTTAGGGGCAGAATTCAATAAATTTCTCCGTATTACACATCAAGCGTCCATCCATCCATTTTAGTCTATACTCGTAAATGTCCACTGCTAAACACAGACCTCCCCCATATATTGCCTCATTGGGGGGATTTTAGTCAGCCAGTAAGTCAGTCAGTTACTTACGGTGCGTTTTTTTATAGAATAAGGGTGACAAACGAGCACAAAGTCCACACGATGGTAAGTGGATGCTGTGGCCCACAAACATCTACATTTATCCTCGATTAGGAATCAAAACGCAGATGCGTTGTCACGCCGGGGGACTAAGATTTAATGCCTCGTTTCCAGTAAAGAAGGGTCTCCGGATCTCTACACTCACCATATGAAACACAGCAGCATTAAGCTACTATTTCACGTCGGTTTTCTGTGAGAGCGTGGTCCTTCCCTGGTCGAGCCTACCCATTCGTGCTACAACCATGATATAGCTGCAGCGTGGCTCTACCTGTATGAAATATGATTTTTTTGATTTACTTATACTTCTCCAGGTTAGAAAGTGACCTGGAGTAAAGTACTCCGGATCTTCAGGGTCTCGATAGCGGACAGAGTGGGCGGCTGTTCATACATGCTTCTACTTGAGCCAACAACGTAGCTGCTCAAAGTACAACTTTTGTTCTCCCACTATTTTCATCAAATGATCTCTTCGCTATCACTGGCTTTTTTAATAATAATAATTTTTAATTTTCAGACTAGTTACCCATATTTGTTAAAAATTAATAATTTAAAGACCTAACAACATTAAAGTAAATTAAAATTAATAGAAATATACATTAAATAAAATTAAAATTAACAGAAGAATCAAGGTCTATCGAGTCTAATTTGCAGTATTCAGATTTTTCCAACGCTCCAATATTGGTGAATCCCATCTGGACCCTAGTACACTCAGGGTGGTGTTGGTGCTAGCCCCTGTTCATGTGAAAAGGAGCATTCCATCTTAGTCCTCATGGGTGACAAAGCATCTGCATTTTGATTCGTAATCGAGGATAGATGTAGATGACTATGGGCCACAGCAACCACTTACAATCAGGTGGACTGTATGCTAGTTTGTCACCCTATCCTGTGAAAAAACCTGATGTACAACGGCTGTATGCTTAAAATAGAAATAAACCTTTTTTGTTTTACCAGACCATAAAAGACCACTGTTATACGTAGGCTTCTCTTGGAGGATTTGCCCTAATCGTCACCCTAGTAGGCGAATTGACGACCATGGTATCAGACGTAGC